ATCAAAACTCCACATAACTATGTATAAATCTATATAACCGTATATAACACTATATGACTATATTAATATTCAATTACTCTAAATAACTATATAAAAATCTATATAACCGTATATAACACTGTATGACTATATATATATTTAGTATCTCCACATAACTATATATAAATCTATATAACCGTATATAACACTATATAACTACATCTAATCAATTACTCAACATATATATAAATCTATAAAACCGTATATATCACAAAATAACTATATATAATAAATAACTCTACATAACTATATATAAATCTCTATGACTGTATATATCACTATAACACTATCTTTAATCAATAACACTATATAACTTTATATAAATCTATATAACCGTATATAACACTATATAACTATATCTAATCAATAACTCAACATAACTATATATAAATCTATAAAACCGAATATATCACTATATAAATATATATATAATGAATAAATCTACATGACTATATATAAATCTATATAGCCGTATATATCACTATACAACTATATATAATCAATAACTCTACATAAATATTTATAAATCATTACACTATAAGAATATATATAAATGTTTATAACCGTATTTATCACAATAAAATTATATATAATCAGTATCTCTACATAACTATATATAAATCTATTTAATCGTATATAACACTGTATAACTATATATAAATAATAACTCAACATAACTATGTATAAACCTATATAACCTTCTAACTACCACTATCGTAAACTGGTTTATCTAATCGCCTAAGTGGCTCTAAACTTTTAAGCGCTATGCGCACAAGTTTGGGGATTGTCACAATCTATATATAAATCTCTACAACCGTATATATCACTGTATAACTACAGATAATCAATGGCTCTACATAACTTTATATAAGTCTATATAACCGTATATATCAATATATAACTATAAATAATCAATAACACTATATAACTGTATATACATCTATATAACCGTATATAACACTATATGACTAAATATAATCAATAACTCAACATAACTATATATAAGTCTATAAATTCGTATATATCACTATATAACTATATTAATCAATAACTCTACATAACTATATATAAATCTATATAGTCGTATATATCACTATATAACTAGATATATTAAATAACTCTACATAACTATATATAATACTATATAACCGTTTATAACAGTACATTAAGATATAAAATCAATAACTCTATATAACTATATATAAATCTATATAACCGTATATATCACCTTAACAATATCTATAGTCAATAACACTATATAACTTAATATAAATCTATATAACCGTGTATAACACTATATGACTATGTATATTCAATATCTTTACATAACTATATATAAATCTATATAACCGTATATATCACTATATAACTATATCTAATCAATCTAAATAGTCGTATATATCACTATATAACTAGATATATTAAATAACTCTACATAACTATATATAATACTATATAACCGTTTATAACACTACATTAAGATATAAAATCAATAACTCTATGTAACTATATATAAATCTATATAACCGTATATATCACCTTAACAATATCTATAGTCAATAACACTATATAACTTAATATAAATCTATATAACCGTGTATAACACTATATGACTATGTATATTCAATATCTCTACATAACTATATATAAATCTATAAAACCGTATATATCACTATATAACTATATCTAATCAATAACCCTACATAACTATATATAAATCTAGATAACGGGAAGAATTCAAAATAGTTTGAGACCACAACTTGCTTAACATTCGTTTCCAAGCCGAGCCAAGCCAAGCTGAGCCAATATGCATAGATTTGTAAGCGCTTTTATGTTAGTATTTTGCTCGCTTTATTCATATAGTTTAAGAATTCATAATAAAAATCGCCTCAGTGGCTCTAAACTATTAAGCGCTAAGCACATAACTATATATAAATCTAAATAGTCGTATATATCACTATATAACTAGATATATTAAATAACTCTACATAACTATAAATAAAACTATATTACCGTATATATCACTATAACACTAACTATAATCAATAACACTATATAACTTTATATAAATCTATATAACCGTATATAACACTATATGACTATATATAATCAATTTCTCTACATAACTATATATAAATCTATATAACCTTATATAACACTATATACGTATATCTAATCAATAACTCAACAAATAACTCTACATAACTATAAATAAAACTATATAACCGTATACATCACTATAACACTGTCTATAATCAATAACATTATATAACTTTATATAACTATATATAACCGTATATAACTTTTTATGACTATATA